TCCTTGAAGAGATACTTCGAGGATACGTACACTCCTTTAAGAGTTGGAGTGAGTTTTTGCCAATGGTAGAGTTTGCCATCAACAACTCGGTGCATGCGTCCACGACACATACACCGTTTTACGTGAATGGCTTGCGCCATCCGCGTGTACCCACCTTACTAGAGTGTAACTCTGGTTTAAGGGGGGAGGGACTCGCGCGAGCAAAAACCGATTTGGTTCACGCTCATCACGCTCTGACGAGGAAGTCATTGCGTTTGATGCCGATATCGATAACATCGATATCGAAGAAGATGATGCCAGTGAGAGTGCGGAAGCCCTCACTGAAGAAGATGATCCCAGTGAGAGTGCGGAAGCCCTTACTGAAGAAAAGGTTGATGTTGCTGCAGTGCGCTCACAGCACACTGAAGCTAACGAGTCATCAGATGAGTTCATACTGGCTCGTGAAACGGTAGTCCGTTTTGTGCAAGACTCCATCGCCGAAGCGATGGATAAGCAAAAGCAAAACGCTGACAAGAATGGAAGGGCAAACACTTTTTTATTTAATAAAGGTGACTTTGTCCTACTGTCTACGGTTAATCTACCAAAGCATGAAGTGACTAACTTGGGTAGCAGTAAACTACTACCCAAGTACATTGGCCCATTTCGTGTATTGCACCGCCTAGGCAATGCATACACGATCGAGTTACCACGTAAGATGCGAACGTATCCCACGTTTTACGCTGGTCGGCTTAAGCTGTACCATCAGTACGCTGCTTCTTCCGATGAAGAACGCCCTTGCGCTCTAGCATCTCGCAGAGAGCCTTGTGCTCCCGATGGTGGGCATCAACAAGGGTCTGAAGAGCAGCTATCTCATCCCGAGACCGATCAGCAATCCCACGAGCTACCCTTAGCTCGTCACGAAGAGATGTCAGAGATCTCTCGTTCTCAAGCTGAGCAAAGGCAAACTCAGCTCGATGCTTCGAGGCAGTGTCCGCCATTTGGAGACGCCTATTCCGCTCATGCTCGAGATCGTCGCGTAACCCTTGCGTTACGCGATCAAACAAGCTCTCGGGAACACACCGATCCACATGATCGTGTGGAGAGCGTCTTTCCTCCTCCTCCACCTCCATTAGAGGACTCTCGCGGTGGACAGCGCTATCTAGTTGAGCAGCTGTTGAACCACCGCGACGTGAACGGACGTCGGACGAGTTATCTCGTCCGGTGGCGCGGCTATCCCCCGTCCTGGGATTCTTGGGAGCCCCGCTCCCAACTGATGATCGACGTACTGGGTCTGGTTGAGCAGTACGACGCGGCACATCCTGTGCCGCAGAAGGACCGCCGGAGAAAGTCTTCCCGGCACGGTCGTAAAGGGATTTCCAGTTGTCAATCCCTTCGTACATCTCAGTAGAGATACGTACGCGCCACCACGGGCTAGTACGGAGGTAAGACTCCTTAGGTGCTCGTGCAGAGTTGTTCACACAACATGGGCACGATTCTCCCCAAGAGAGGCAGGGTAATCCTTTCTCCCTTGACAGACGATGCAGCTTGTAGTGTGCACTTATCGGGGTTCGCTTTTCAAACTTATCACGAGCTTTGATAAGTTTGTCGTTCCAAGCGTCACGACCTACATCCTCAAGGTTATGGATGTAGGCGTTCCACGCCTGAAGTAGTGAGGGACCATCACGTTTGTGATTCCCACTGTAACATCGATGCTTAAAGAAAGCATCGATGAAGAATTCATGTTCAGCGCGATAGTTTTTCGCGCTGGGGTCAAGGTGATGGATCCTTGACGAATCGAACAATCGTGTTCGATAACGATCACTCGTCGTCGCCGACAAGTGATCCATGACGGATTTTGTAGGCATCCATGCCTTCTTTTTGGGAGCGAGACGCAACACACTGCGGTCCCGCTCTTCTTGCGACGTGCCGACAGAAGTACTGGCACCTCGTTGCGAAGTGGTGTCAATTGGAGAACCAACACCACTGTGAGCGCCCGAGTCTCGCGACCTCGAGCGCCTTCGCTTCGGCGATGGTTCATCTGATTCATCAGATGACCCAAAGATGCTGCGACGCAAAGCATCATCCATGCCACGCTTGGCAGGCTGCTTAGATTCAATCGCCGTCGATACGGATCCGTCATCCGTATCAGGAGAGTACGAGACACCGAGCTCGTACTCTGTGAAGACACGAGTGTCTTCATGACCAGCGCCTGCATCACCAAGTGACACAGGCTGGGTCGCTTCAGCAACCGATGAGACATCAGTTGCTGTTGTTTCTGCTTCGGCGTCCGCACAGAGACGTGCGGACGCGCTCTCGGCGGCCTTGTTCGCGCATCGCATGGGCTTGTTTACCATGCGATGAGATGTTGGAAAGTGGACGCGGACCAACAAGTGCAAACCCTGTCCCAAATGATTTGGGACGAGTATCCATTTAGTCAATCAGCCACTAAAGTGACCGAAGGTTAAGGGGGGGTGATGTAACGGGGTGAATTGTTAGATTACAATTTTTAAGAAATTGTTAATAGAATGTAACTATAAGAGTTATGTTCTCAGAATATTGTCATAAGGACAAATATTCTGTAGCACTTACGAGTAGTTCCCAATTGGTTGATATAGGCCATTATATCAACCAACGAAGACGCGCCACGACAGACGCACGCAATGAGTGGTGAGCAGATAGTTGATTTACACATTTGTATTTAGACATAGTTAGATGAAGATAAATAGTGATTTATTGCAGACATTAACTATTATAAATACAGTTCTACTTTTTACTCTAACCAAGTACTCGCTTCTTCTTTCCGTCTTCCTCTGCACGTACCAGTGTACGTGAAGTTACGAGGCACCGCCTTATTCTGTCATCAGAATAAGTAGCTTGTACTGTCACCAGTACAAGCTTCAGGGTGCCCCGTTACAGAGCAGCAGTGATCACGTCGTGATTGTAACGGGTTGATTGATGCAGCTCACCCGCAACAATTGTTCCCTTGGTTTCGTACGTGCGTCAGCAAGGATACTGAACCCAGCGCATTCTAAGAGCTGTGTGATGACAGTGATTGAAGTCGGCAGACTTTTGATTATATCGCTAAGGTCTCTATTGACAATCTCGATTGGAATATGAGCGTTGCGCTACATTTGGACACATGACCAGCATACAGAAGGTGACTGTGGCTTGCTTGACTTTCACCAATATCCTAGAACATCGAGTCACAACAATACAAACGCAACTTTTGCTGTTGTTGTGGCTTTGGAATAATCTCCTGACCAAAAAATCTGGCGAACTTCTCGGCAAGCACAAAGCTAAAGCGGCGCGTGGTGCCTCTGATGCAACAATGATCTTTCAACAATGATCGCGTTGCCCGAGCCTACTGTACTAGATTAATAAAGACATTTACAACATCATACTCATTCTTCAGTGACTGCTGCTGTTGTATAGTGTTTTGCAACTTGATTCAGTTCTATGAACTAAATTACGTATTTTAAAGGGCTAGCTCAAAAGCTTGCTCCCCTATCATAAGGGAGCGACTTTTTGTGTCCATTTGACTCTACGTGTAGACATGGAAAAGTCTGAGAAAAGTTTTAAGCGCTGTATGCACTTTGACCATTCGTGTGGTTGGGGTACAGCCATTCCCTGCCTGCCACGAAGTGTAGGTCAAACACACGGATGGTGTCACTATTTAGCGCCAATACATGATTTCGTTGAAGCACGTCATCAGCGCGCTTATGTTTAGTTTAGGCGCGCTGTAAAGACCGCTTTACGTCAGAGCGCGCGTCTACTCATTTGTCTTCGAGCTAAAATTCATGGGCGAGGCTATTCCGTACTTTAAATTTTCTATTCCTTACTGCAAACGTCGTCAAACGTTTTTACGAACAGCCAATTTAGCTTACCAGTAAAATTTTGTCTATACTATGCCATACATAGAAGGTCAGTGGTGCGGCGATTAAAGAGCTTCCATTGAGTAGATTTAGTGCCGAGCTTCCATTGACTAGATTTAGTGCCGATCCTTAGGGATGAGTTGAACATCTCCAACAAGAAGATTGCCAATATCCTAATATATCTCTGAAGCACCAAGTATTGCTGACTCGTCTAGCTGAGCCTGGTGTGACGGCACCTGCACTCGACAGTCTTCCGAAGCTAGTGACCCAGCACAAGCGAGCTGCTACTTCCTGGATGCAACTCTGATTGGTCATGCTGCGACTTCAGTCTATGTACTATCGAACACCATCGTACAACTTGACTCAGTGTTGGCTCACGCTTATCCTGGCCATCATCTTCGGCCTCGTGCTCGTCAGCGCCGACTACAAAACGTACTTAGGGCTGAACTCAGCCGTGCGTATCATTTTCATGACAACGCTATATCAAGGATACGTGACGTATGTTGCAACAGGGTAGCCCGTTACATGAAATCGACACCAAACGGTGTCAATAATAATTATGTCTAGCATGACAACATTCTACCCATATTATCCGAGATGGTTAATATTGAAGGAACATTATCTTCTTTTGAACAATAATCATGCACTGCTCCAAAATTGGTTAATATTAGACATATCAACCATAGATTGTCACCAATCGCTGCTAGACGCGCGCGATGAGTGGTGAGCAGGTTGTCGTCATAAGACGACGTAGTTTAATGTAGTTAGATAAAGATTAAAGTTATATTGATAGCTTAACTTTATTAAATACAGTTCTCTTTCTACCTTTACTCAAACGGCCCGATAAGTAGATTAGCTTCCTCTGCACGTACTAGTGTACGTGAATTTTCGTGGCACACATACAAAGAGTGTCCCTTTACATACGTTGCTTGTCTGCCCGTTATCCTGTGGGAACGAGCCGTCTACTACCGCGAGTGCGACGCGCAGACATACAACACTCTCTGGAACTTTCTCGGCATCACGTCCATCTAGATCCCCTACGTCTTTGGCAGCACTCTCCTCTTTACCATTGTCTTTTTCCCTATCCTTGGCATCTGTTACTTCAGCACGGCTGTGCTCAACTAGCTCAGCATCTCCCTCTCCGTGCTCATGCAGACACTCCTGGGCCAGCTGCTCGTCTACTTGCTCGCCAGTGGCGAAGTCGTTGCCGTTCTAATCGTCCTCTTTAAAGTCACGTTCCTGCTCTTTGCTGCTGGGTTCAACCCGCCTGCTGCTGCCATCCTGGACCGTTGGCGATAGCTCTATGACATCACTCCACAGCGCTACTCCCTCTCGATCCTCGTCTCGCTCCTATTACCTCTGACCTTCTATGTATGGCATTATATAGACAAAATATAACTAGTAAGGTAATTATCTGTACGTAAAAACGTTTGACGGCGTTTGCAGTACGGAATAGCAAGATTTAAAGTACGGAATAGCCTCGCATAATATCCATTTCGATTCTGTTTATTGAGAGATCCGCTAATGAGCCTTCACCCCAGACATTAATGAAGTAATTGTATTTGAAACCCCAAAAATTATCAAATCGTTTTGCTGACCCTTCATGCTTCTACTATTTTAAATTTGTACAGTCGAAACTGAGCCAGTCATATCCGTAGCTTCACATAGAGAAGCCCCTTCGACGGTTGTTCTTCCTAGCGATAGCTAATGCGGTAATGAATTGTCCTATTTTTGCTGCTCGCGCAGCCGCAAATGTACCAGCATTAGACCAAGAGGATATTATGGCTGGCTGATGCCTTCATCCCTCGCGCTTGCTTCGTCGACTACACACAGTCTTTGGGACGTACGAGAGGCTGGAAAGAACGCTGAACGCTGATGAAGCGCTCCTTTTTTAGGCATGTTGCTCAACGTATCGTACATCCCGTCAATCGGCCGCAGTTGCGTTCGCCATTGCAGTGGTAGGTTAACATAACAAAATCTGCCCACAATTCTTGCTGCACAGGGCAACGAACTACTGAGAGCACCTGACGTATAAGCTTGCACTGGCTTGATGAAGCGTTATAAAGTACAATCCTACACTGCGTATCTATCTCTCTCTTAAGATAATCAGACCAAAAAGCTTGGGAAATGGCACTTCGTTTATGGTGCAACGCTTTTATACCAATTGCCGCACTAACGTCTTAATAAACGATCGTGAAACACCAAAACATGCTTTTTGCTGCGCACCTTATTGGGTTTTTGCGTGAGTGCTACAATGTAACCATCTTTACCAATCGCTAGTTGCGACGTTTGATAATGAGATATTTTTATTTAGCAGTAAATCTAAAATGCTCACGCAACGCTATCCACGTGTTGCATGAGCACATTAGGTTTACTGCTTCAACAGCACTGTCTTTGCTCAATTATACCATTTCAAGCCATTATTGTTGTAACATATCCTTCAGGTAGTGTCAGCTCGTCAAGCGCGTGAACAGATTCATCTACAGAAACGAAAATCTCTTCTGTGATCTAGCTAATGCCTTCCTTACTTATCAAAAAGGGAGGCCATAGGTACGGTGTAGTAAGTTGTACAAGATCAATGGAGGTAATTTTGAAACGTGCAACGAACAAATTGACAACTAAAGGGGCTTTATAAGTAACAACTTGGTTAATGTAATAGTTAAAGCTCATTAGCGAAAAGTTAAGTCTCACGAGCGGCTCCCTTAGTCAAAAAAAATTGCTTTTCCATTTGCAATCTATATGTATCTTTTCGTGCTGGCGGGCGAAAAATACCACGTCCGAGACACACCTAACAACAAGCGTTCAGATATCTGTGAGACAGTCGTAAAAGATAGTGCGTGTGTAGCGGAGTTACTTAGCACACCTTGACAGAGGAAGTCTTAGACTCAAAGAGTTTCTTAGTTGAAACAAACCAACAACGACGTACAGTCGTTCAAGAGTACAAGATTAACAATCCCGGTTTCAAAGGGATTACGATTTAAGAAATCATACACTAACTAGACACTACTAGTTAAACAAGAGTAAACGCCTTCACAAGGCTAACACTCTTACAACACGATATGCCTTGACTAGGCACTAGCGTCCGACGATTCTAAAGGGGTAGTAAACTTTATGTATTCTTTCAATGCGGTAATGAATCACCAAAACCTTGCCTGACTGACTTCTACGTTACGATCTTATGACAGAAGTCTGATCTCTTATCCCTAACCGATAAGGTGCGGTATTACCGTAAGTACGTGGCACCAAGACTGTACCACTCAGATCCACTAATCTTTACTTGGTGTGGACACACAACATAACCGGATCGAATAACCGCGTGTAACCCCGTTACAGCGTGGAAGCTTAAAGCGCTTTTTTACACTTGGTAGCGCTAGTAGTCCTTCCCACAACCCGTATCTACATAAGCGTGTCAGTAAGGATGAGCATCAATGCTAAATGTCCTCAATTCTACCACCTTTCTATGCACAGGGACTTGGCCAAGACCTGGATATCTTGCTGAGTTCCCCCAGAGCAACATTTCGTCAACCATGATAGTTGGAGAAGTTCGAGTTTAGACATCGGACGTCCGCATCCGAAGCACAAAGCATGAGTTGGAGGAGTCCATCCGTCAGACTCGTGATGAGCTTCTGATAGAGCAGTCTAAAAATGAGGCGCTCAGCAAAATTGTTGCGATGCTCTCGGCCCGTTCTACCTAGCCGATGCCTATTAGGATCGTCCCTCCTGAAATTGATGGCAATCTGCCCGCACTATTGTACACTAGCTTCTAACCGTGGAGCTATGTGTTATGGAGCAGCTAATCGAGGACGATACCAGATTGGTATTGTACAATATGTCCCATTTGCGAGTTAAGGCCTTAGTATGGGCCTGTTCAGCACTTGAGGCATACAGTAAATCGTTTCCATCATGGACGATCTCTACGACAAAATACTCGCCATGTATGAGCCGATAGGCAACGAATTGTTACTACGTGCACCTTATTTAGCTCGCGACAAGATCAGCGAATCCCTGTAAGACTATGTGCGAAGATGCGCTGACTTTCAGCGTCTGTAGTTCGAATCAGATACCGGAATATATTAGGATGTCCATGTTCCTAAACGGATTGCGGAATGGGCCAGGGCAACAGGCTCTTTCCAGAAAGGTTTCGTCGATGATGGTAGAAGAGATCGATGTTGATTTAGTTGAAGAGGGTCCTACAACAGTACTTCAGTAGCACCTAATAAACGACCACCAGCTGAAACGTCTGCAGCCGTTCCAATGGAATTGGGCAGCGCAGATGTTGACTGTTACATGTTCAATAAGTGCAGCCATATTATGGCTCGCTGATATGCAAACGTGGGCGCTATCGCGAAAGCGTCTATAAATTAAGATCCCAATCCAAATGACGGTCTGAAGAATCAGCCTGCAAGACGCTTGGATTCTGCATCGGCAAAACATGAGTCGGGAAATGCAGTAGCGCAATAGGGACAAAAAGACCTACTGACGCTGAATCCGAAGCTACCCCAACGTTAGGAGATGCTAAATGGGTAGCATCGATCCGGAGTAAAAAATGCTTCTCAAACTTGTTGGTTTTATAGTGCTCGGGTGCAAGTCCACGATCATTTGACGACCCTTCTTGTAAATTCGGGTGCATCATACATCCTATTAAATTTGGCGGCTCTTGAGAAAATTCCTAAGATTAGTGAAGCGCTTTATCGAGATGGCAAGCGTGAAGAAGCGACCTTTCTTCTTGATTAGTGTACGCTATTGATATCAGAGGGAGTTCACGTTGAAGACGCCTTAAGTTTCAGTTACTTCTTGTGCAAGGAGAAGTTCAAAGTGCTAGGCATGGAGAGTCCGTATGACCTCATTCTAAACATGCTAAGTTGGTACATCACTATCCAAATGTAGACTGGAGAAAACTCATGTTCTCTAGCTTTAAGCAAGACATCGCAACGGATGTGTTCTGGAGAGAGGCTAAAGTAATTGATGCTGTGGTCAATGTAGTCAAAAGTGCGTTCACGGTCATTTACACTTCGCCGAGGACTAGCCAGCTCGGTTCGTCTAGTATAATTAGTGCGAGCTGACAGTAAGTCGAGTATTGTTGAAACCGGCATAGAGCCAAGTAACTAATGCGGTTATGAGGGATACGATATCTCCGACAGCAGCAATACCAAATTTGAGTCTAGGAATTTTGTGGTGCGACTTTTAAATCACACCAGACAGATTGTAAAGATGGTTAAAGGCACATAAAGAGTGACCTTGAATAAGTATCAGTGTTCGAGGCTGTCAAAGACAAGATGCCGGAATCATCCTCGACGGAGGTGCTTTAGCATGTCTTGGTATCTGCCAAACAGATAGGTAATCTTTCGAAGAGATCCTGTCCGAACTAAAGGAACGAAATATACACGAGAAAAGTCGCACCAATTACAGAGAAGAACTTGAATTGACTACTGCTCCCTTCTTCCACAATGGAAGAAGGTGTCTTAGATACTGACAATACAAAACGATTCGCTGCTCAAGGATGGGACTCCTTAAAGTCATTCCGTTATAAAACTTCTTAAAGGGACACTTTGGTTTCTTTCCTACTTGATTGCCGAACCGCCTACCGAGCGATAAGGGTGCCAGGCACGAGATTGACTTGGAACCTGGCACCAAGCATTACGTGGCCAGATAGTAGCCATTGCCGAGTATGTCGTCTACATTGACCAATTCTTTGATCAGTACGTCAAGGCAGAACACGTATGTGAAAGCAAGTCGCCTCAATGCATCCTTACTCGTTATGTGCGTAAGACAACAGGTGATTAGCGTGTAGCCCATGCTTGTAAAAGTTGAACACGGCTGTTATCTCAGCACATGCACTGATCCCGCGGATAGATGACCTAATGAACTCAATGGGGTAGACAGCTATCGTTTCCGCATTACATTAGACGTATTGGATACTATCAGATACTCATGAATGAGAACGATGTAGCCAATACGGCATTTATAACCCCGAGTGGTATACTGTGGGAGCAGATAGTGATGCCAAAAGGGTTGAGAAACGTACCAGTTACATTCAACCAGGTGGTAGCTCATGTGATGCGTCCACACCGTGTTTAGTCGCGTCAGTAATTGAAAATGTTTGATTGCAGTAGGGCCGAGGTCGGGTTGAGTGAGATGGAACTGCATAAACGTTATTTTGAAGTTGAGTTGCAAACTCTGGGCGACGCCCAATCGTACTTTAAGTTGCAAAAGTGCGTCGTAGGGGCCCCTTAAATTCCTGAATCGGGATACATCGTGGGAAAACACGGTGTCAGAGAATTCAAAGAAGATGTAGCAGCTTTGATAGATTGGCCAGTCTTACGACATGCAAAGGATCTGCGCCAATCTCTCGGGCTTGTCAATTACTTGTTTAAAGTGAAATCATTTATCTAAGCTTGGTAGAGTGAAAATCGTATGAATCGTTAGTAAATGCTTTCTCTTCAGTGAAGACATCAATTTGTAGATGATCCGGTCTTGCCTTTACCATATTTGGTTAACCTCTTTTATTTTGTCTACGATGCGGTTAAATTTTAATTCGCCATCGGCAGTACACTCATGCAAAAAGATTATGACGGCATTGACCGCGTCGTGTCGTCTCAGTTCCGCCTTTTAAAGACTGCAGGACTAAATTACCCTGGTCAAGACAAGGATTTGCTTTTTATAAAGTATGCTCTTGTGAAGTTTAAAGTGCACCTATTGGGTACCGAGGTGTTTGCAGTTTACACGGATCACTCATCACTGCGTACCGCGATCAAACCGCCACACCTATTACCCAGGATAGGCGAGGTGGCTCACGCTCTTCTCAAAATTAAATTTACGATTTAGATACAAGCCAGAAAGTCGAATGTCTTCGCTGACGCGTTATCGCGCATACCAGACTTCGAGGAAAGACACGTTATTGACATGTTACGGGCTAAAGCACGAATTGAGCCGTCAACACTGGAGACGCTACGATTTGGCCATTTGCCGAATGTTGATGTTGATGTGCGCAGGCGAAGGCAAATTGTGAAGTGAATATATTTATGGTCCTTAGTTCGCAAACTTGCTTCGCTACCTCTAAGCCACTCATTTCCTATACTTAGACAAACTATATCAGTCCCACTGATTTAGCTAGACCAATGAACACCCTTCGATCTTCTCAAGATCTTCTAGAAGGTTCACTGGTTTATCTAGACCAATCAACACCCTTCGATCTTCTCAAGATCTTCAAGAAGGTTTAAGAAGCTCTCCTTGTGACGTCACCCGATGACGTCATGCTGTGCTTCTTCTCAGCCAGTCCTTCTCGATTCTTCCAAACCTATCCATGAACATAAAAGCAGTAGACGGTGCTATGTTAGCACTCCCACTCACCGCTATTGCTAAATGCCCTTGGGTCCAATGCAGCGTGCTTGTATCAAATAGTTCAGTCGCTTGGTCCCCAGAGCCTTCGTTAGCATGTCGGCCAATTGGTCCATGGTGGAGATGTACTTGACCACGATGATCTCGTGGGCCACATTCTCCCGGATGAAGTGGTGACGAATGTCAACGTGCTTGGTTCTGGCATTGTAGCCGGCATTGCTGGCAAGCCCAATTGCTCCTTGATTGTCTTCCCAGACCCACGTTGCTCCCACTTGCTCGTGACCTAGATCTTTAAGCAGCGCACGAACCCATAACACTTCCTGTGTACACAGGCTTAAAGCCATGTACTCTGCCTCAGCAGAGCTTAGAGCCACCGTGCGTTGATACTTGGACTTGTATATGGCTGGTGCGCCACCGATGATCACCATTATCCCTGACACGGAGCGTCGATCATCGATGTTGCTACCCCAGTCCGCGTCCGTATACGCTGTAGCTGTTACTTCGCTAGCGCTGCCGTCGTAGATTATCCCGTAGTCTCTTGTCGTCTTGAGATACCGAAGAACACGAATGGCTGCCTTCCAATGTTGCTGACCTGGATTCTCCAAAAACCTTGATAACTGCGTGATGACATACATCACATCTGGGCGCGTACATGTCGTGATGTATAGCAAACATCCGATCAGCGACCTGTACGGCTTTGACTGCATTTCTGCTCTATCGACATCCGTCGTTGGGGATTGCTTCTTTGACAGCTTCAGGCCGGACTCGCATGGGTTGACCACTGCCTTTGCGTCCTCTTGATTAAAACGGCTGGCCACATCATCGATGTATCGAGTCTGTCGAATCATCAGCTTACTGCAGTTGTGGTCATGATCAATCTCCACGCCAAGAATAAATTTAGCCTTGCCTAGCTCCTTCATACGAAATGAGCTCTTGAGTGCTGTCTTGACCTCTTGAATCTCCCTGCTGGTCTTGGCGGCGATGATCATGTCGTCGACGTAGAGACAAACATAGACATAGTTGTCATCTTGATGCTTGACGTAGATACACTGATCTGCTCCGCTGCTACGAAATCCGATCTGTAAGAATACAGCATGGATTGTCTTGTTCCACGCACTTGCAGCCTGCTTGAGACCGTAGATTGCCTTGTCCAACTTGCACATCATCTTCTTCGCATTAGCTATGCCATTTGGCACTTCCATGTACACCTCTTCCTTGAGATCACTGTTCAAGAACGCCGTGTCTACGTCCAGCTGCTCAGTGACGTATCCCTTTGTCACCACCACAGCTAGCACAACCCTGATCGAGTTCATGTTTGCCACGGGAGAGTACGTCTCGAAGAAGTCGACACCGAATTTCTGCTTGAACCCCTTTGCGACGAGTCGAGCTTTGTAGCGCACCACTTGTCCGTGTTCGTTTCGCTTCTTAGCGAATATCCATCTGCACCCGATTGGTCGAATGTCTTGCCGTTTTGGTACCAGTGTCCAGGACCCGTTATCGGCGTGCGCCTTGAGCTCCGCTTGCATCGCTTGAATCCACTTGCTGTTGTATTCGCCTTTTAACGCTTGGCTGTATGTTGATGGAGCGTCGTCCGCCTCGCCAACGCTTGCAGCATAGGCTAATACAGCCTCTACAATGAGACCTTCGTTATCAATTCTTGCACGCTTTGGAGAAGGTGGTCCATCGCTACCTTCTGACGTGTCTTCACTGCTATTCCCATTCTCAAGCAGCAGCATTCTGTCTCGTGAGCGTCTTGTCCGATCTATCTCCGGCTGAAATACCAACCTGTCCTCCTGAAAAGCTTGTCTCGGAGCTTGATATCCCGTTATCTCATCGCCTCTTGGTTCTTGAGTTTCTGGATCGAGTACTTGAGATATGATGATACCTGTTTCGAATGGAGCCGATTCTATCTCATCCATCTCGACATCAGGAGCGCTTTCTTCGACATCTTCCATCGTCTCGTCTCCATCATACGGACGAACCACCGGAATCACTGCTTCATCAGTGTCCCTAATATACTTGACGACTGGTACTTTATCTGGTACCACCGTGTCGTATATGCCTTCAACTTCCCGCTCGTCCAGCTTTACGGAGCGCGATATGACAACCTTCGACCTTTCCAGATTGAACACCCTGTATCCCTTGGTGTTCTCCGCATATCCGAGGAACATACACCGGTAACTCTTTGGTTCGAGCTTCGTCCTCTTGGCGTCGTCAATGTGAGCATACCCTTGCGATCCAAACACACGCAAATGCTCAATACTCGGCTTCATCTTGAAACCAACCTCGAACGGTGTTACGTCCGAATTTGCAGAGTTTGTGGATCTGTTGATCAAGTACACAGCCGTACTGACCGCCTCTGCCCACCACTGCATGTCGATACCCTTGTAGTACAGCATGCTCCTTGCCTTCTCCATGATAGTGCGATTCATGCGTTCCGCAACGCCGTTCTGTTGCGGACTATATGGTACTGTCCGCTGGTGCATGATACCATTACGGGCGCATATATGGGCAATCTTCTTGTTGACAAACTCCGTCCCGTTATCCGACCGTATACACTTCAAGTGCTTGCCCCATTGATTCTCATAGAAAGCCTTGAACTCGCTAAGCCTTGTGGCCACCTCGCTCTTGTGCTTCATGAAGTACGCTGCCACAAATCTTGAGTAGTCGTCTACGAATGTCAATACGAATCGTGCACCACCCTTTGAGACCGTCTTCATCGGTCCCATCACGTCCGTGTGTACTAGTTCCAACACACGTGACGTCCTTGTTAGCGATTGAGACGGGTATGTATTGATCGTCAGCTTGCCCTTCATGCATCCACTGCACAGCTTCTCGATGCCCTGCTTTACCGCCGGCATACCACTCGTAGCGTGCTGTCTTGTCCATACCAGATCTTCCGGGGTGTCCCAAGCGAGCGTGCCAAAGCTCCCACTCACTTTCAGCTCCTGCGTATTCTACAAGCCGGGCTTCTTCTTGTTCGCAATCCAGGAAGTACGCCTTGCCAATCTTCTTGTCGCTTGCAATCGCGCGCTTGGCACTCCAAATGATGCAGGACGAGCTTTGAAACTCCACCCTCATGCCTCGTCCTGCCGGTTTGCCAACGGACAGCAATCGTTTGTCAAGTCCTGGTATGTGCATGACATCGACCATCATGATCCGTCGACCGTCTAGACCTTTCAGCTTGACTGTTCCCACTCCAGCTACCTGCAGCTTCTTGCCATCAGCGATAGAGACTTGTTGACCAGTCTTCAACTCCTCGTACTCAAATAGATCGCTCCGATGTGGTGTCATGTGCGACGTAGCCCCGCTGTCGATAAGCCATTCTTCGCATTGCAACTCACCAGCAGCAAACACAGCACCTTCTTCCTCGCCATTGCTACGCTTCAGGCAGTCCCGCTTATAGTGTCCGACTTGACCACACTTAAAGAACTTGCCTTTAATTCCGGTGTTGGTTTTCCGTAGATAGTTTCCCTTGCGGCCGTTACCTTGGCCTCCCTTGAACCGTCTACCGTTGCTGCTTACAGGAAACGCCTTCTCCGTAGTCTCCTTCCTCTGCAATCGTTCATGCTCCTTGAGCAGCTTTTCCTTGACCTCGATGAGCGTAATGTCCTTGGAATTCTCCACAATTGACGAGATGAGCTCATAGTCCGTCGGAAGACTACTAAGCAGCACCACTAGCTGCCGAGAGTCATCGACTGGCTCTCCAAGTGTCTGGAGGCCGACAAAAAGCTCGTCAAAAGCATCCAAGTGCTTCGACATGGTCGAACCATTCTCCATTTTGAACTCATGCAGACGACGTGTCATCTCGACACGATTGTGGAGCGTGGTGCGGTTGTAGAAGTCCCGCAAGATGACCCACGCGTGCATAGCTGTCGTCGCCGATCGTATCTTGGTCTGGTGCTGTGGCTTTATGCCTTGAGCGATGATACCCAGTGCCTTAGCGTCGTTGAACAGCCAGGCATCCGTCATCTCTTCTTCTTTCTTGATGACTTGAACGTGCACCAGCAGCCCCTTGCGCGCCAACGTCATGCGCATGTTATACTCCCAGTGGAAGTAGTTTCCACTACCCAGGAGGACTTCACACCGCTTTTTTGTCATGGTGGACGTGGTGGCTTGGCGGTTTGGAGCGCGTTGCGGCTGTTAACCTGTTGATGTTGATGTGCGCAGGCGAAGGCAAATTGTGAAGTGAATATATTTATGGTCCTTAGTTCGCAAACTTGCTTCGCTACCTCTAAGCCACTCATTTCCTATACTTAGACAAACTATATCAGTCCCACTGATTTAGCTAGACCAATGAACACCCTTCGATCTTCTCAAGATCTTCTAGAAGGTTCACTGGTTTATCTAGACCAATCAACACCCTTCGATCTTCTCAAGATCTTCAAGAAGGTTTAAGAAGCTCTCCTTGTGACGTCACCCGATGACGTCATGCTGTGCTTCTTCTCAGCCAGTCCTTCTCGATTCTTCCAAACCTATCCATGAACGTAAAAGCAGTAGACGGTGCTATGTTAACACCGAACTCTCTGGCATCTTGTACAAAAAAGAGCTACATACTGGTCGGACATTAAATTTTGATTATTGATCACTTTTTAGACTAAATAATACTCGTTCGTAGCACCTAAAGGTGAAGTTTACTCTCTTTAGGTACACTGATCGTCTGTTGTGTTATCAACCGTCACATTGTTATACATTCAGATTCTATGTCTCCTATGACACTTATTTCGAATAGAAGTTTTTTTACAGCTCCAGGATGCATCAAAAGTGTTCATTTGGGACGTGAGAAGACATCTTTACGAGCTCATATATATATTGGTGGCCACACCTTAATCGGCGGGTAGCCAATTATATTCGATCGTGCAACGTGTACCAGCGCTTGAACCTCGAAGCAATTTGCAACTGAAGCCACTGCTGATACCAACTAGTTGTAAAGTCGGTCAATTTAGACTTTGCGTTAGGCACGCCGCCTGACCATAAAGGCAGGACTGGTCCCGTTGTCATTGCTAACAGACTGATCAAAATGGTGCATTTAGCACTATGTAGCACCAAGAAATTCGGCAAGGAGGCAGCTTTCTTGTTCCTGGATCACGTGTATAAACTTATTGGGATGCCCGAGTCTATGTTTTGGGACCGGAATACACGTTTTAAGTCAGGGTTTTGGAACCTACTGTTTGAGATGCTAGGTAGCAAGCTCCACATGTCTACAACCTATCATCCCCAAACCAATAATCAGACTAATCGGGCAAATCGTGTCGTGGCGGATGTTTGCGCACAATACTAAGTACCAAGGAATGAATCAAACATTTGCCTTTTGTGGGTTTGCTATTAAAAGCTGTGTTCACGCCAGTACGAGTGCAACACCATTTGATATCAACAGACTGCGCCATCCTCGAGTGCCAGTTCCGTTTGTGCGCAGCCCGAGTCTTTTTGAAGGAGGGACCCTATTACGCGCGGCGGAAATGCGAAAAAAGTAATGTTTCGCCAGTGTTATGGCGGAAAATGGCTTTCGTGACCATGACAGAGCCGCAGTGGTTATGACACAAGAGATTGTCAAATTGGATACACGACACACGCAATGAATGCTCCAGAGCAATGAAGACGGTCTGTCATGATCAGCAACAACCCGTGAACGATCTTTTGGTAGTTTTATTAACCATCTAAAAGCGGATCGAGGAGGGCTGCGCTTCGTGCGCACGCCTCTCATCAACAATTGCTCCAGAAGTTCGATCCAGGTTTTCAACCGTTCATACCCTTGATGCGCCTACGTACGGGCGTCGTGCAAAGTCGAGGTCAATTGCGAAGTTGACTCACGAGAGCCATGATCCTTTTCGTGACATCAGCGTCACGCGCTTGCGTCTGTGCAATCGACGAGTGGGTCGTGATAAGACGAGCATAATCAATGATCGTATCGGGCGCCATGTCCCTTGTGGACACTGACGGGAACCAGAGTGTCCCTGTAGGAAGGCTGATTGCCAACAGGAGAAAGAATGAGAAGCTTTAACTCCTTTTCCTATGGAATGGACACCCCCAGAATTTTGACTCTTTAAAACGGGTTGACGCGTTGCGTGTCATTGCGCCTGGTGTGGTTGCCGCTTATGAGCAGGCACACTGATTGCAACCGCTTTGTTAGTCTTAATGGAAAAGCAGAAGCAGCGTAGAGTGAACAATCAAGGGGTAGGTTACTACTCAATAGCTATCGCGCGCGCTCCAACGCGAAGTTCTATACTGCAACCGCCGCCTTGCCGTCTCAAAAGTGTGGTTTGGTTCGTTACAGGAATGCTGCTTTGTATCTGTCAGGTTTTTGCTGGGAAATAACACGACATGAATTGGAAAGGTACGGCTAAGCCGATTCATTATTTCTTTCACATGCGAAACACACCACAGCACTTATGTGCGTCCATTGTTTCATGTAGAAAGAGCGGTGCCTCAGACCCATCCGCCACAGGCCATTCGGATGAAGGAGGCATCGGTAACATGCTACAAGCGGTATAGCAGCCTTCAACTGGAGCGCTTGCGACACAGAAGGACGGAGGTCCAGTGTTCTTGTAAAATCATTATTCTCCGGTTCGTCGATGTCGGAATCTCCGTTATGAATTTCCCAACGTTCGGACGAGATGTTGACACTTAAAGAAGCTGCTCGTCCATCGAGGATAGTGCTCTCGTTGGTTATCGTAGAGCTAATAGGATCTGACTCAACATGAGCAACTTTGTTGTTAGCAGGCTGTAATGTCTGCTAACAACAAAGTTCTGCAAAGCACGTGAGCGAGCTTATGTTCAGTTTAGGATTGCTGCAGAGACCGCGTTCCGTCAGAGCGCGCGTCTACTCTTTTGTATTTTATCCATTTCGATTTCAGTTGACAAAGTAATGTAAATACAAGTCTTTTTACAGTGCAACCTTTTTCTAACATGTGTACTGGGGGACGGGAAACTCCGTCCGAGAACCACCTAACATCAAGCTTTGATGCAATTTTGAGGCATATGTATGACGCCTACCCGAACATCGCTGCACGCTGTAGATGACGGTGGAATCACTTCTCGAAGGTATCTACGGATGTGTCTAAAAGTAGAGCGTGGAAGCTTCTAGAGCCATCCCATACTAAGCCACTTGGACGAAGCGGCTACTACGTTTGTAGGACCCAAAAAAGCAAATCAGAACAAATACGACGCCAAGCCGGTTTATTGCGCCCGCCAAATCGTTTTCGAGGCCCCATGTGCAACCTGATGAAGGTAACTGAAATATAGGGGTCCACAAGCTATCGTCGTTGGCAGCTGATATGTCGCTGCACTTACGCGTTGCCAGCCTTACTCTTGATGGCTTTACAAGAGACGCCGATAATCCAGAATTCGTGCCACTATCTAATTAAATGGCTTGTTTTATGAAAGCAACTTATCCTCGTCTCCATGATGATGTAACTGCAGAAAAAGACATAAAAAGCCGTACTCTTACTGGTATCACGGAACTTAGTTCGGTAAATGCAACAAAACTCTTTGTCGCATACTACGTCCGTGTCTTCGCTCTGCAGCAGTAGAAGAAAGCATATTAAGGCCACTATCGGTACAAGAAGTGTCATAATTTTACTTATCCATATCTGAATATACCGCCCACCTCGAGTCGTACTGCGTGGCTCTTTATTAAGCATGCGATCGCCTATTTATCATTATAAATTCGTAAGCCACTTCTCTAAGGTTTGTAGTAAGATCTTAAGCTTTTGTTTCTGTTTTGGCAACAAAACATTTGCAGATATCACGTGGCACTAAGGCTCGAGAGCACAAGCCTTAGTGCACGATCTTTGATCTTAGTGTTACAGACAAATTAGCAAGATACGTGTCGTTACATGATAAAATCGGAAGCAGAATTTATGAACTGGACTCTAGCTGTAATTAAATCTCGGCTACGTAATTGACCTTCAAAGCGTAATGCCTGATCGAGGAATCCTGACGTATATTCTTCTAGTGAAGTTGCACCAACATTAAGAAGTACTTACATAACGTACAAGATGCATACCATCTAGCCGTGATCGATTAAATACGGTAATCATGCTTAACCTAGTGAGTAAAATGATACAACTTTCAATTTTACTGCTTTTCTAATGTGAGAACCACATGACACCGTATTGGTTATATTAGCCGCTTGTGTGATCCTGTTACATCAACAGGTTAGAGCATCTCTTGGGATCTATCACACCAAATTAAATACGACATCATCCGTTGTCTCTATGCATCGGTCTGCCGAAAGAAGAAGACCATTCGATGCTCGCTGACCACCCGTCAATAGATGTTGGAGAAGCGTCAAATGATAAGCACTGGGTTGCCTTACTCTGAGCTGCAACATATTGCAAAAATGGAGAGATAACAATCTTTAGCGGGTTAGCGCTGGTCTAACATCGTTCTACTCTATGCCTAAGATTCTAGCAAAAGATCATTGACGTAAAAAATTGATAAGCAATCTCTTCAATCTCCCAGATATTGAATGAGTCAGTAAACTGCTTGATGGATATGAGTGTCACAGTGACAACAAATCTGCTTTATCATGTTTCTTGATAATTCTCAAAAGGAGGTTGATCTACCGTGAGATGAAATATCACATCAATCTCGGTTTTGGACGGATATACGACGAATAATTACAATTTTGCCTGGATAAAACTGTCATTTGTGGACGATTCGCCGTATCTAATTCTAGCTTTGTTAGCATTTAGAATACAATAAGTTACATATTGCTATTTTCTACGCACGTAAGAAAGATGTCTATCCCTGTATAATATAGGGCGAAAAGACGCGAAGCTAAGTGCAATTCGTAAAAACATGCATTTGAATGTTCTATTTTCACGCATTAATGGCCTCGCAAACGTGGAACATTGTTTTACCCTACAGTCCTTCTTCTGCTTCAAAAAACTTAGCTCTGAAAGTGCCTATAGCGAAGCTACACAGCTCCTTTAGTTAGAGGAAGACCTAGTGCTCAAAGAGAGATATTAGTTCTTTAGAACTAGACTTTTTGAGTCAACAAGAGCAATGCAAAAGGTCCCTGTTCCAGAGGAACAACAATTCAGTGAATCTACAGCACTTGTGCTCAAGAGTAACTGATTTATGGAGGTGGCGCTAAC